ATAAACACAAAATGAATCCAAGAATTGACAAAAGTACCCTGAAAGCTAAATCCTTCTAAATACCTATAGTTTAAACACTAATCTCTCTCTCTCTTTCTCTCTCTCTCTCTCTCTCTCTCTCTCTCTCTCTCTCTCTCTCTTTCTGACACACACACACACACACACACACACACACACACACACACACACACACCATGCAAAAGTTGGGTTATGTCTCCATCTAGTGGTTACAGAATATAACACACAGCTGCACACAAAGTGCTTACCCAGGGAAGTAACTACAGAATACATTTGCCCAGGGATGTGGATCCAGGAGACAAGCATCTAACATGTAATTGTCCTCCTACCCGGCTAAGACTGTATCAGAGCAACCTTGCCTGCTTCCTGCTGCACAGTTTCATGAGTTTGAAAAAAAAATCAAGCATTAACAACATTAAATCAGTTTTCCTCTTAGCCTGCCACAATTTTTATCACCCTGTAACTGGTACCTATTTGTTAAAAGAGGTGTTTACCTCAGACCACAAAGAAGATAATAAAGAGATACTCAGAAAGCCCCCATTTGCTGCTATAAGGAATATAAATTTATACGGAATTTTGGTACTATTTAGTATGTATGAATATGCATATAACTTATGTGCTATCAACTCCACTCCTTAGTAAGAGAAGAACTCTTGAACAGTGGTTTGTGACCTCCGGGACACATCCCAAAGGAACATACTGATGGTAACCCCAGGGTGGGGTGATTTGGATGGGTCAAGTCTTTCCTAATTGTAACCAGTTGCTAACTAAAATTAAGCATTTTTTTGTTGTTGTTGTTATAAAGGTATCTATGGTAGTTTGAATGTAATTGGCTCACATGATCTTATAGGGAGTGGCACTATTAGGAGGTGTGGCTTTGTTGGACTGAGTATGGCCTTGTTGGAGGAGGTGTGTCACTGTGGAAGAAGCCTTTGAGGTTTCCTATGCTCAAGATGCCGCCCAGTGTCTTAGTCAACTTCCTGCTGCCTTCTGGTCAAGATGTAACCAGTATCATGTCTAGCTACATGTTACCACACGCCCCATCATGATGATAATGAACTGAACCTCTGAAACTGTGAGTCACCCCAATTAAATGTTTTCTCATAAGAGTTACCATAACTGGGCAGTGATGGTGCATGCCTTTAATCCCAGCACTTGGGAGGCAAAAGCGGACAGATTTCTATGAGTTTGAGGCCAGCCTGGTCTACAGAGTGAGTTCCAGAACAGCGAGTGCTGTCACACAAAGAAATACTGCCTTGAAAAAAACAAAACAAGAGTTGTCATGGTCATTGATGTCTCTTCAATAAAAACCCTAACTAAGACATAGGCAATAAACATTATTGTGATGATACATTGTTTAAGATGTATTAAAGTTTGCCTGAGGATTCAGAAAGCAAAGTCAGTCACAAGCCATAGAGATCAGTCAGTGGAGGTACACACCTTTAATTCTACCACTTGGGAGGTAAAGGTAGATTGGTCTCATGTTAGTTCAAGGCCACACTGAACTACTCAAAATTGTTCCAATCCTAATGAGAAACAGCTCCCACAAAGATGATGTCAGCACCTGGGATTACACACCTTTAATCCCAGCCCTAGAGAGGCATATGAAAGAAGGAGGCTCAGTGTCTCAGACTGCATTCTGAGACACACTGGACTCTCTCCAGCCACGCTGAGGAGAGGCAGCAGTCTGAGGCTTGGTGAAGAGCTCATGGTTCAACCCTCTCAGCCTGAGGTAGAGGAAATAGCTAGTGGCTTGGCTGATTTGCTTTTCAGATCTTCAGCTTGAAGCCTGAACCCCAATATCAGTCTCTGGGTCTTTAATTTATCATGTTACACAGCATCAGGACTTATGGCATTCTAGATGATAGATCATAAATATTATGTTCTAATTAATTTTTACAAATATATTAAAATTCCCCTTATCCTCATCATTAAAATTTTCTTGCATTCACTATTAGAATTTGTTATTCCATGCCTAATATTTGTTGTTGTTGTTGTTTGGTTTGTTTTTTGGTTTTTGGTTTTTCGAGACAGTTTCTCTGTGGCTTTGGAGGGTATTCTGGAAACTAGCTCTTGTAGATAAGGCTGGTTCGAACTCACAGAGATCTATCTGCCTGCCTCTGCCTCCCGAGTGCTGGGACTCAAGGTATGCTCCACCACCACCCGGCATGTCTATTTTTTAAAAAACATTACTTTTATATTTCCATCATTTAAGTTCAGGTTTTTTCCTTATATTCAATTATCACTTGTTTCTCTTGCAATGTGAAAGATTTAGAAACATCAGAGATCAGTGTGTTCATAAGATTTACCAAGGGTTCTTATCATACCACGAATGATTATAGAAATGCCTTAGCAAAAGGCCCTGGTGGAGCTGTTACCAAGCAGCTGACAGAGGTCAACTTTGTTCTGCCCAAATAGAATCATGGGTCAGCAAGGAAAATGAGCTGCTTTCATCTCTCCCTGCCTGGCAGCCACCAATGGCAGGAGCCGGTGGGGTGATGGCAAATCGTCCTTCCCTGTGACAGCTATTAAGTAAGCTTCCAGAATAAAGACCCTGGGCCCTGCAAATGCTCCAGCTTAGGTAGGCCTAGAAAGTCCAATTCCTAAACTGTTGCTATATTACCTGGAGACTCAGGTCAGGAATATATATATATCAATTAATGCACGAAGGAAAAGAATCTTCTACTGAGATTAAGCTCAACTGGCAGTTGCTATGGAATAATCCTTCTGTACACTGTGAATATGTATTACTCTCATTTGGTTAATAGGGAAGCTGGTTGGCTTATAACAAGGCAGGATGAAGTTAGAAGGGACAATCAAACTGAGGATACTGGGATGAAGAAAGGCAGAATTAGAGAGCAAGATGGACATGCCATAGTGAGAAAGGTACCAAGCCACATGGCAAAGCATAAATAACAAATGTCGGTTAATTAAGTGTAAGAGTTAGCTATAACAAGCCTGAGCTATCTGCTGAGCATTTGTAATTAATACTGAGTTTCCATGTCAGTTATTTAGGAAGTTGTTTTGGCACAGGGAAACTTCTGCCTACAGGTGGTTGCTGAAATTAGCAAATGATTTCCCCATGTAAAAGAAGCCCCTGGGGGGGGGAGGTGCTGGGGAGTTAAGGCAGGACTACTAGTGTGGTTTGCCCCAGGCTCAGAAGCCTGGACTTCTTCACTTCTAACACAACAATGTACTCCAGCCACTACAGCTGCTGTCCATCAAGCAGACACAGCGAAGAAGTAAAGGGACAAGTTGCTCCCCCTCCTCCTTTAGATCACTTACCTTACCGTACCAACATTCCCTAGGGGTGAAGACTGTTCCATGACCACAGCAAGATCAGTTTTCTAGTACTGATCTTTTTTTTCAATGCCAAATAGATGACTGGATACACACACACACACACACACACACACACACACACACACACACACACAGCTATCTTCCTCCACCACGTCTAATTCTTTGTGTTACAATGTATTGTATTCATTCATGCTGTTTACTAATTCTTTCATGACAGCACACACTGGACCCAGGACCCAGTGAAAAAAAAGATATCAAAATCCATATATGCTCAAGTCCGTTCTATAGCATTTGCATATAACATACACTCAACTGCCTGTATCTTTAAATCATCTCGAGGTATCTCAGGCCATGTAAATACTTGTCATACTCTATTGTGTGTTTAATGCAAGAGAAAATGTCTGTATGTATCCAAAACAGATAATTTTCCCTCAATATTCTGCTTTCTCTGGTGAAATCCACAGATGCTCGCATCAACTACATGGAACTGACCATATTTTCTCTTCAGTTGTGAACTCCAGTGGGGAAAGAACTACTCCTTTTCCACTTCTATAGTTCTAGGAAACTGCCTATAGCATAAAAGAATTTGCAATAAGCATCAATTGAATGAGTAAATGAACTGTTAACTCCAGGCTGAAAAAAACAGTCTGACAGATTTTAATCAAGTAGATGCTGTCTTTACACGAGTAGTACTTGTTTAAATATGTTGGTTTAGGAAATAATGACTTCAGGGGGGAGGGAGACTAAATTCTTCCAGAATTACTAAATTTTTGAAAAACCTCCCTCATCTAAGCAAAACCCCTGCCACAAGGCACCCCAATAAAACCATACCTGATAAACCTATAATTCTTTCTAGTCTCTAAGGATATAAGGAATGTACACAGTAACTATTAGTAAAAAGAGTCATAAATTATTAATGTAGATTAATGCAATTATTTTAAACACTGGAGATGCCAAAAGGCAAGTGCTATGAAGTGATCTAAATTCTTATCTTTCTACTAAATGAACATTATCTGTAAATAGCAAACTACAAAACACCAGAGTATACCTAACAGACACATAACCATAGGGAAAAAACAGCTATAATATTTGAACTGAGGTCAGCTGTTGTAAGTAGAATAGAACAATTTACTTTTGATCCCTCGGCATATGAACTGTGAAGGTCTCACTTCAGGCCTGTGACCCCACTGTTCTGGGCACCAGGAAAATTAACCCATCTTTATTTGTAGCCTCCCAGGCCATGCTAGGAGTCAACAGGGACATTGAGTATTCTAAGATAAAGGTGAATGAAGGCCCCTGATCTGTGCCCCAGGTCACTCAACCCAGAGATTTTAAAGCACCCATGTACATCCACACCATGCCCTGCATTTTGTAATGTTAGTATCCTAGTGGGTTTAAAGTGGTGACCTAGGGTGTGGAATTACACGGAGCTCAGGGTTCTGCTGATTGCAACATCACCTCTGATGTCAGGGCTCGAATTTTCTAGAACAAAGGCCTTTGCTAAGAGTTGACACCTCAGATCAGAGAGTCTGGGCCTTCGCCCTTACTGAGAGGCACAGAACCTCTCTGCCAAGCCCCAGCCAGCCAGCACAACCGAGTGGGAGGGCGTGCACCAAAAAGGGGAAGAGCACAAGTCCCAGCACCCAGTGGCCTTCTTCCTGCTAGCTCCAGGCCGCGCCATGCTTGCACTGGGAAGCTGCCTGAGGAAGGTGCTGGCCCCACGGGCGCTGGCGACTCAGGTAGGGAACGTGGCCTACAGGGAGGTAGACCAAGCTGTGTGCGTCTTGGTGAAGCTTGGCACTACTCAGGTGTCTCGGTTCCCTGGCACCTGCTGAGTCGTGGCGTGGGACAACCTTGCCCAGCAGTGCCCAGCAGTTAAGGCAGCACTGGAGCCTCAGGAAACTCGATTAAGATGCATTAAGATGCGATGAGATGTGCACCAAAGGGAGTCACCATCCAGCCCTAGCTGTTGAGCACAGGCTTATCCTGGGGATGAATCCAGTTCTTTCTGGTCAGGACTTTGACTTAACCCAAATAGAGAAAATCATGGTAAGCTAGTATAGAACCAGGTAAACCTTGAAGAAGAGACTAGTAGCAATGCCGCCAATTGTTTCCTTACATTTTTTCGCTGAACCTAGTTTTTATTGTTTTTGTTTTGTTTTACCAACATTTTCTTTAAAGTTTTGGCAAGAACAAGTCTAAGTTTCAGGTAATGAAGCATTTGATTTCTCCCCCAGCATAAATCTGACTCTGCAACAGAAATCTTGAAAACTGTCCCTATGTTGTCACTCACACACCTTTCTGTATCACACACCTCCTATATCTTATGTCCTAGAAATAATAATAAAAGTTTGTGTCTTTGACAATTATTTTCTTCTCTAAATGAACACACACTCTTTGAATCAACCTATAAAGTATTTAGAATGCCACTGACTCAATTCATTTTTAAACTATAGCTAAATAAGCAGTTCTAATAATCCCATTTGTAGATTTTTGGTTAAAAAACACAGAGACACAAAAGTCCATCAAATGCAGAGCCAGCTGTAGATTTTTATAGGAAGTTTACTGATTTGCACAGCAAGAGTACAGTTCAGAGTAGATGTGAATGGAATGAACTAAAGGGAGAAAATAATATTAAGCTTTATGTACAGTAAACTGTTTTGTAAGCAAAAACGTATCAAGAGGAAAGAAAACTATTGCTTTTTCTAGCCATACTAAGTTGTCCGTGTATACAGTGATTTTTCCATACTTTTATATTCATCTGAACTGTTTCAACAGATTTTTCTGGTATTATTAGCTTCATGGAATGAGTACATGATGCCTCAACTTGAAAATAAGATGGGTTTTTACAGCATAATGGCATACAATGTATGTATACATATATGTGCATATATACAGACATACACAAGGTAATTTCTGACAAAGTATTTCCTAGGGAAAAGTGCTCTCAGAACAAGAAGTAGAAACTTTCATAGTAAATATGATTATTTATTTTTAAAAAAATAAAACCTGAGAGGCATTTCTACCACACTGGTACAACTAAATGCATTAAAACCCATCTTTGCTTTGTGTTTCTCATTAGAAGCCAATGATTCAGGCAATTCTGGAATTTTTTTTTAAACATTCATGTGGTTCTCAACCTGTGGCTTGACCCCTTTGGGTTCACATATCAGATATTTATATTGTTATGATTCATAACAGTAGCAAAATTATAATTATGAAGTAGGAAGGAAAATAATTTGATGGTTGGGTCACCACAATATGAGAAACTGTATTAAGGATTGCAGCATTAGGGAGGTTGAGAAGGTCTGGTTTATTACCAAATTTTATAATGCACTTGGGTATTGATAGCACCCTAATGCATTCCAGTTCTGTTTCTGCCTAATGTAGGAAGAATTCTTTGACCTGAGTGGCAATTTCTCTCCCCTTTTTTAAAAAAGTTTTCTTGTTGTAAACATGTTCATTGTGTACGCCCAAAGATATACAGTCTACAGAGCTCTTTCAGATACATAACTGTAGTGACACACACTAAGGATTAAAAGAATATAAGGGAAAACCAGATGTTTCTGAATCCTACCTGTGGTTCTCTGTCCCAGGAGCATCTCTAAGATAACACTGCCTTAGCTTGGGGCAGATTTCCATGCCAAGGTGGCTTAAGGAGACTCCACATATTTAGTCGTAGTTGTCTTCAAAATCTACTAAATTACATCTATAGAGAGTTGACAAGAGAAATGGCAACAGGGCTTGTGACTCAGCTATTGTGTTCCCTGTCACCAGACCCAGATTTGGTTGGAAGGTAACACAAATTCTATCCTCCCCCAAATAATGAAATTTGATTTGTCTTTCTTCAGGTGTGCTCATCCTTTGCCACTGACCGAAGACAAACCGAAGGAACATTTTATGAATTTTGTACTTATTATCTTAAACCCTCCAAGATGAAGGAGTTCCTGCAAAATTTTAAGAAAAATGTTCATCTTCGAACAGCTCACTCTGAACTGGTTGGATATTGGAGTGTAGAATTTGGAGGCAGAATAAACAGAGTATTTCATATTTGGAAGTATGGTATGAGTCACCCAGTTTAAATGTTCAGTATAGATTTTTATCCTAGTAGATGCTACAGGAGTGTGGTGATATATTAATTATGATTTAATAAAGCTTGCCTGAGGGTTCAGGATGCAAAGCCAGCTATACTAGTTAGCTACAGAAGCTAGGAAGTGGTGGTACAAACATTTAATCCCAGGACTCAGGATTAAGAGGTACACAGATCTCTGTTAGTTCAAGGCCACACTGACTACACAAAATTGATCCAGTCCTAAAAGAAAGAGCTCACACAAAGGTGATCTTAACTCTTGGGATCATTCAGCTTTATTCCCAGCAGTAGGGAGGTATAAAAAGCAAAGGGTCTCATGGATATTTAGACTTGCAACTTGATGCAAACATGACAGTTCTTCAGATACCCATTCCCAAAACCACAACACAGTGTTCCTGTGTGCCCCAGATGAACGATTAATTATTTGGATGCAATATGAAGAAGTACAGATGGTTTTACTAATTTTTACGAACTTTTCTTCATTCTTTTCTGCCATAGATAATTTTGCTCATCGAACTGCAGTTTACAAAGCCTTGGCCAAAGATAGAGAGTGGCAAGAACGATTCCTCATTCCAAACTTGACTTTCATTGATAAACAAGAGAGTGAAATTGCCTATCTAGTACCATGGTGCAAATTAAGAAAGCCTCCCAAGGAAGGTGTGTATGTCTTAGCCTCTGTGAGTTTGCATGACTAAAATGGTGTTAGGCTCTTTGTTTGAGTTTTTTTTTTTTTTTTTTTTTTTTTTTTTTTTTTTTGAGATAGCGTTTCTCTGTATTGACTTGGTGGTCTATATGGGAGCCTACTGGTCAGTGGTTAAGAGACAGAGACTATGGTTTATACGATGACGTGGGGACCCATCTTCTTTCCAGAGAGTTCAAAGATTGCTGTTAGGAATTATTATTCCTTGTGGAAAACTTAAACATCAATATTAAAGTAAAATTTTCAAGTTTTAAGGTATGCATTAGGGAAAGGCAACAATAAGCATTAAAATGTATATGAGAAAATTAGGATTCTAATATGATATCTTCTCTGCATCAAAATCCGTGTAGGATATTCTCTAGATGGTAATATAACCAGAATACAGTCTAGGTTTGGATCCACATGGTCTACCTGTGCTTCTAGTATACTCTTTTCTACTCATTCTAATTCCTTTTCAGCTTCAGCTGATAGTACTCGTGGACTATTCAAGTCCTTGTCTCCTTTTGGGGACATTTTCAAGTTTTTCACATCATGCCCTTCTACTCCAATAATGGTTTGCAGTTGAGAAATCTCTCCTAGTAATTTTTGAAGATCATTAAGAGTCTGGTAGCCATCTCTCTTGATCTGTACTTTTTGCGATCTAATTTTCTGTAGACCTATTTTCTTTTATTTTTTAATTTTTTTAATTTATTTTATATAACAAAGTCCATTTGAATGAAAACAAACATTTATAAACAATATTTGGGGATTTGGACGTTGTTCTTTCCAAACTACTTCCTGCTGATAAGGGGCGCTGTCATGGGGGATTCGAAGAAGATGCAGAAATCCTGGCGGTAGTCTGCAAGGCTGCTTTGTCCAGCTGTTTTGAATGTAGGATCACCTCGTACTCTGTTTCAGGTGGTCTGGCTTGATCAAACCACATTAGTCTGGAAGGAATCCACATCTTTTCATTTTCTGTGAAAACAAAAATAGAAATCCTTTTCCCCAGTAACTTGGCCTTGAACTTAAATTTTGGAGTCAAAGCAATTTTTTTTAATTTAATTTATTATTTTACATGTCGATGCCAGTTCCCTCTCCCTCCCTCCCTCCCTCCTTCCCTCTCTCTTACCCTCTCTGCCCTCTCACATGCACTCTAACCACCCTCCCCTCCCCACCCCAATTCCATATGTAGGGGAATGCCATCCAGTTGGGGTCATGTAGATCTGACAGGTCATGTGAAGTAGGGACTAGGGCTTCTCTCCTGTCTCTAGATTAAGGCAGTTATCCCTCCATGGGGGGGGGGGTGTTCGCAAAGTCCTTTTGTGCACCAGGGATGCATCCTGGCTCCACTGTCTGAGGTCTCTTAGACTGCTCAGTCCTTCTGGCTGAGACCCATATTCAGAGGGGCCTGAGTCAGTCCCATGATGGCTTCCCAGCTATCAGTCTAGTGGCCGTTAGCTCCTCCTTGTTCAGGTAAGCTGTCTGTATGTGTTTCTGATGCGTGGTCTTGTCCTCTCCATCTGCATCTGGGTTCTAGTTTGACTCAGTGTTTATGTATGGGTGTTTGATCCTGTTTCCAACAGGCATTAGTTGAGGGCTCCATGGAGAAGTTAGTTGTTGATCTCACTCTCCGGGAAGGGCATTTATGATAGCCTTTCCATGGAAGCTCAAATTGTTAGTTGGGAGAAGTCTTGTAGTTCTCTAGACCTTTCTTTGTGTTCAAATTTTATCTTCAAACCAATATTGGCTCCCTCTTTTATGTTCTCTCTCTGTCTCTGTCTCTCTCTCTCTCTTTCCTGTCTTCTATTTCCTAAACAGGCTCAATCTTCCTGGTAGCACATGTTTTCCTTTCCTCCCCCTCATTTTCTCCTACTTCTCTCTCCATTCGGTGCCCCCCCACTTCCCCTGAGCTCTGGGGGACTTGTCCCTTCCCAGTTCTGTGAGGGACTTTATATGAATCTCTTAGAATACACCTTGTATCCTAGTTCCTCTGGTAGTGTGAATTATAGGCTGGTGATCATTTGATCTAGGTCTAAAATCAATATATGAGTGAGTACATACTGTGTTCCTCTTTTTGTGACTGGGTTACTTCATTCAGGATGGTTTCTTCAAGTGGCATCCACTTGCCTGCGAATTTCAAGATACCATTATTTATTCTGCAGAGTAGTATTCCATTGTGTAGATGTGACACATCTTCATTAACCATTCTTCAATTGAGGGGCATCTAGGTTTCTTCCAGGTTCTTGCTATTACAAATAGTGCTGCTATGAACATAGTTGAACAGATGTCTTTGTTGCATGGATGTGAATTCTTTGGGTATGTGCCTATGAGGGGGATTGCCGGGTCCTTTGGTAAACTAATGCCCATTTTCCTGAGGAACCGCCATACTGATCTCCAAAATGGCTGTATGAGTTTGCACTCCCACCAGCAGTGGAGGAGTGTTCCCCTTTCTCCATATCCTCTCCAACATGAGTCATCATTGGTGTTTCTAATTTTAGCCATTCTGGCAGGGGTAAGATGGTATCTCAAAGTTGTTTTGATTTGCATTTCCCTGATAGCTAAGGATGTGGAGCATTTTCTTAAGTGTCTTTCAGCCTATTTGATTTCCTCTATTGAGAATTCTTTCTTCAGTTCTGTATCCCATTTTTTAATAGGGTTATTTGGTGTTTTGTTGACTAGTTTCTTGAGTTCTTTGTATATTTTGGAGATCAGCCCTTTTTCGGATATAGGATTGGTGGAAATCTTTTCCCACTCTGTGGGCTGCCGTTTGGTCTTGTCCACTGTGTCCTTTGTCTTACAGAAGCTTCTCAGTTTGAAGATGTCCCATTTATTAATTGTTTCAGTGTCTGTGCCCGTGGAGTTATGTTCAGGAAGCAGTCTCCTATACCAATTTGTTCAAGGGTACCTCCTACTTTCTCTTCTAAGAGGTTCAATGTGGCTGGATTGATGTTGAGGTCTTTCATCCATTTGGACTTGAGTTTTGTGCATGGCAATAGACATGGGTCTATGCAGTCTTCTACACACCCTCATCCAATTGTGCCAGCACAATTTGTTGAAGATGCTGTCCTCGCCCCATTGTATAATTTTAGCTGTTTTGTCAAAAATCAGGTGTTCATAGGTGCGTGGGTTAATATCAGGATTTTCAATTCTATTCCATTGGTCTACCTGTCTATTTTTATGCCAATACCAGGCTGTTTTCAGAACTATAGCTCTGTAATAGAGCTTAAAGTCAGGAATGGTGATGCCTCCTGAAGTTCTTTTATTGAATAGGGATGTTTTGGATCTTGGGTCTTTTGTTTTTCCATAAAAAGTTGATTATTATCCTTTCAAGGTCAGTGAAGAATTGTGGTGGGATTTTAATGGGGATTGCATTGAATCTGTAGATTGCTTTTGGCAAGATTGCCATTTTTACTATGTTTATCCTACCTATCCAAGAGCATGGGAGATCTTTCCATTTTCTGGTATCTTCTTTAATTTCTTTCTTTAGAGCCACAAAGTTCTTATTAAATAGGTCTTTTACTTGTTTGGTAAGTGTTACACCAAGATACTTTATGTTGCTTGTGGCTATTGTAAAGGGTGATATTTCTCTGATTTCTTTCTCTGTCTCTTTGTCATCTGAAAAAAGTAGGGCTACTGATTTTTTTGAGTTTATCTTGTATCCTGCTAGTTTGCTGAAGGTGTTTATCAGCTGTAGGAGTTCCCTGGTAGAGTTTATTGGGTTGCTTATGTAAACTATCATATCATCTGCAAATAGAGACAGTTTGACTTCATCCTTTCTAGTTTGGATCCCCTTGATCTCCTTTTGTTGTCTTATAGCATTAGCTAGAACTTCTAGTACGATATTGAAGAGATATGGAGAAAGAGGGCAGCCTTGTCTTGTTCCTGATTTTAGAGGAATTGGCTTAAGTTTCTCTCCATTCAGTTTGATGTTGGCAGTTGGTTTGCTGTATATGGTTCTTATTATGTTTAGGTATGTTCCTGTTATCCCTGACCTCTCCAAGACCTTTATCATGAAAGGGTGTTGAATTTTGTTGAAGGCTTTTTCTGCATCTAGGGAGATAATCATATGGTTTTTCTTTTTCTGTTTGTTTATATGGTGGATCACATTGATAGATTTTCGTATGTTAAACCATCCCTGCAATCCAGGTATGAAGCCTACTTGGTCATGGTAGATGATTTCTCTGATGTATTTTTGAATTCGGTTTGCCAGTATTTTATTGAGTATTTTTGCATCGATGTTCATCGGGGATATTGGTCTGTAGTTTTCGTTCTTAGTTGTGTCTTTGTGAGGCTTGGAGACCAAGGTTTTTGTGGCCTCATAAAAAGAGTTTGGCAATGAACCTTCTGTTTCTATCTTGTGGAACAATTTGAGGAGTAGTGGTATTAGTTCTTCCTTGAATGTCTGGTAGAATTCTGTGCTGAATCCATCTGGCCCTGGACTTTTTTTGGTTGGAAGGCTTTCGATGACTGCTTCTATTTCATTGCGGGTTATAGGTCTATATAAGTTGTTTGTCTGTTCTTGATTTAATTTTGGTAGGTGATAGTTATCCAGAAATTTGTCCATTTCCTTTGAATTTTCAATTTTTGTGGAATACTGATTTTCAAAGTATGACCTGAAAATTGTCTGGATTTCCTCTGTGTCTGTTGTTATGTTCCCCATTTCGTTTCTGATTTTGTTAATTTGCATGTTCTCTCTCTGCTTTTTTTGTTAATTTGGATAAAGGTTTGTCTATCTTGTTGATTTTCTCAAAATAACAACTCTTCGTTGCATTGATTTTTTTGTATTGTTTTCCAGGTTTCTATTTTGTTGATTTCAGCCCTCAAGTTGATTATTTCCTGGCGTCTACTCCTATGGGGTGAATTCGCTTCTCTCTGTTCTAAGACTTTCAGTTGTGCTGTTAATTCTCTTATGTGACTATCCTCTGTTTTCTTCATATGGGCACTTAGTGCAATGAACTTCCCTCGTAGCACTGCTTTC